ACAGATTAATTGTCCCATGCATGTGATGTTACTGGAAATGGTTATGGGTTCTTACAGATTTCTCAGCTTAAATGCAACACAGCATGAATGTGGTTGTATGATTTCTAGTACCAGCTGTATCAAGAATGCCATGGTGCCCAAGGCTTTGTGTGTCTTTTATCAGAATTAATTAAATTGTAAATATATTGATCATTATGTAGCATTTCCCAGGCATTCCTTGATTTCTGGGGATCAATCCATTTATTTTCTACCAGGCGGGAGTTTGACCAAGATGACATTGTTTTGAATTACCGGGACCTTGATGGTGATCTCATCCGGTTGCTCTCCGATCAGGATGTTGAACTCATGGTGTCTCAGAGCAGGAGAAGGGCCTCTGAGAAGCATTTCTTCCCTTGGAAGTTGCACATCACTCACAAAGATGACTTGGGTGTCTACAACACTAGTCCAGAAATAGGTGCTGCTCAAGCAGTAAGAGCAACATAAGTGCTAGATACAGTCTTTCTGTAATCCCCCTCTGCAGACAGTTTCCTTTAACAAGCTTTTGAAGTGAGTTTGAAAAGAGTAATTTTTAGTAATATATTACCTTTCAATGTGAAATGTGTACTTCGCTTCCTCAGCTTTTTAGCACTCCTCTGTAATAGAGATATCTACATAGAGACCAGAGAAAGTGAGGAATAGAGAAATAAAATCTCTGGCCATATTCACAAAGCAAGTCAGTGTTAGCCTGCAAAAGAGGTTTAGTGTCCTGAGCCTCAAGACCTGCTCTAATCTCTGTTCTCACTCCCAGAGCTAGTTATTTGTCCAGAATGTCTTAATGAGCTTTCTTTCTAGACTGCTGTAATTTTCCTTTCACTTGCTGATATGAAAGTTTGTGTGCCAGTGCTTACAAACATGTAATTATTTCTGTCATGTGGGAGTCTGACTGGGCATTCAGAGTTTGCTCTGGAAGCATCAGGAAAACTTTTTCATATTTCAGTGAAGAAATTGCAGCCCACCTTTCCTTTCTTCTTTCCACTGACCAATATTTTGAATTCTGTGAATCAAACCTGGTACACCTGTGTTCCTCATAGGCCTTTTTGTAATTGTACAGACTACTTATTTCCACATTCTGGGAAAATCTGTGCGATGCCTATTCAAATAGCAATGTCTTCTCTGTCCATCTTCTGCTTTCTGATACCTCATTGCAAAGTAGAGCTAACAAGAAATTACTGTATCAGATTCTTCAACAAATAAAGATACATATGAATTTATTTTATCAGTTTCTATTCAAAAGAGGTTTTTTTGGGAGGGATGAAATAATTCTGCTCCTTATTTTTTTATTGAAAGTGATATAATGTTGAAGAAGAGTTTGAATATTACCTATTCAGATTTCCTTAAGGAGCTCATTACTGAAAAAAAATATATTTTGCAATAATTTCTTTAATAGTCATGCAATTAAAATATTTACTGATTGAACAAATTTACTGCTGCTTAGAAAAATTACAAGTTATGTATGTTTTACATAAATTGTTTGATACCTAAAATACTGTATTTTAAAAGCACCATGCAGTCATGGTGTTAAAAAGGTTCCACCAACTATAATTGGTAAAGAATAGGAAGTTAAAAGAGTTTTCAAACACCATGCTTTGGATTTGACTGTTAGTTTCTGTGGCATTAAGCTACAATTCCTCATTTAAAAAAATCTTTGTCCTTAACCTGCTGGTAAAATTTGTACAGACAAAAGGGAAGATTAACAAGTATCTGCAGGTACTAAGAGTCAGTTAACTAACAATGCCTGAATAACTAACCTGCCCCTCCCAAACTGTCAAAATAATGTTTTCTCTTTTTCTTAGATGTTACCTGTAATGCTATCAGGTCACAACATCTTCAACAAGAACAAAAGTATTTAAGAGGACTTATCCTTTAAACTTTTTTTTTTTTTCCTGGTGTATATACATAAACTTATTTATATAAATAAGCTTTAATATTTTATTATCCATAGCCCTGCATTTATGTGTATAAGTGTATTGGAAATAAAGGAAAGAGTTTCTATTTAAAGATAAGCATATTGTTTGCTATATTGGGATCCATAAATCATTTCTTACTTGTATTAAGTGCACAGTTCTAGCAGTATACCAATCTTGTACAGACTTGCCTAAGAAAATGCACTCTCCAAAGAGTTGTAAGATGTGACAACAGGCCATATCTGCTTTCTAGGTACAAAAGTTCCACCTGAAGATTCCATGCATATTAAATTTCAGAGGTAGGTAACATATGTTCAGAAGAGACACATATTACGTCTTCCTTCTTTCCATGATGAAGTTTTAGTTGACATTATTTTACTAAAATGTTACAAAATGTAACTTCCCACTTCAAAAGCTTGTAGCAATGCAGTTGAGGAAGGAGCTGAAGCAATATACAGTGATGATAATCTTACACCTTGTAAGAGAATACGTTGTAAATTTGAAACCTAATTGGCGTGCATGGCCTGCTAAAATTCTGGTATGCAGGATTACTTGTTCCTGGACTTCAACAGAGCAAATAACATCTGAAGATTTTCACTGACAGCTAGATCCTGCAATGTAAACAGCAACTCAGCAAGTCTGTTTAAAGTTGGGGGAGCTGTTTGAGTGAGGAAGGAAAGGGAGGGAAAATACCTGCTGGGAAACAAGAAACCCCTTTTCTATGGGTGGGGGAAGAACATACATAAACTTACTGGCCTCTGAAAATCAGAGCAGAATTTCTTTCTGCCTTTATATTGTCAAGCAAAGTAAATTCTGCCCATTCAGGAAAGTTGCATATTCCCCCCACCCTGTCTGCAGATTTTATATGCACACCTCCTGATAATCCCAACAATACACTGTTTCCTCAGCTGCTCTCATATTCTCCTTCTTGCTCTTCACATTTCCCTTGTTCACAATATGTTTTTTTCCTTGTATGAGAGAGTGCAAGCAGTTAGCTGTATGTTTAATATAATTTAAATATGTGTCAAGTTCCTTCCAGTCCTAGATTTACATTCTACGTTCTACTTGGTCATCACTCTTCTTGTGAGAGCCTAACTGTGCTAACTATGGGTTTGGTCAGTACTACAGGGATTTAGAGAAGGTGTAGTAGCAGCACAGGACAAATAGACTCTGGCAGTTGTATTCTGTATCTGGGGACTCATCTTTGTCCCCTATGGTTTACCCCTGAGAGCACAAACCTGAGTGTGTCTTTCCCTTATGGCTACCTAACTTTCCTATAGATCTTATTATTGAAGGCTACTGGGTTAAGTTTTAAAGCTGTATTTAAAACAGTGTGGCTGCATTGGGTGTAGGATAACTTCAGATCAACCCTTCTCACCAGTTTTTGTTTTCTCTATGTACTATAATTTCTTATTCGTTGTTGTTGAAACTGGTAAAAATTACTTTTTAACACATTACTCAAATTAAAGGGCTACAGAGATAAAGGTAGTTCTCTCCCCTACCCCCTCTCGCCAATATACATGTACAAAGAAACATAAAGTACAGAATGATCCCTGCCTTGAAGACTGTCTAGGCTAAAATAAAGCAAGAAACAGCACTGGAATAAAAACCTGATAACTTTTTCTTAGCCTTTCTCACTTCTACTGCATTCAATCCTCTTATTTTTTTCAGAAAATACATTAGTCCCATGATCTGGTAATTGTTACACAGACAGATTGGCAGTGACAAACTTCCTTCCCCTCCCTTCCCAGTTAAACTGTTCCATCTGAGTAAGTGCTTTGGGGGCTAAAATAGGAAGTACAGACTTCCTCTTTTACAGGCAATTGCACAGGCTTTCCTTGAAAAGGCGTGGTCTTCTTCTTTGAAAGTGGCATTTGAGGTGCATAGAAGATATAGCAGTTATTTTGAAGACTTACTTGCCAAGAAAATCCTGTGGTCGGTTTATACCTTCTGTCTCCAGTTCTAGGGAAGTGCAGTTTTGCTGGTTTCTGCATCAGAGGATTCTGATGCTGTGGGGGGAGGCTGGACAGGGACAGTCTTCTGTCTGGTTGAATCATCTGCCTCAGAGACAGCTCTGGATACAGGTAAGGGAATTGCTTCCTCTCTGGGGAAAGCAAAATGACAAAGTCTGCTCTCATACAAGGACTTATGAGTCATTAAGGGATTCCTTAGCTGTGATGACTATTCAAGGGCTCAGCTAGCTGTTTCAGGTGTAAGGAAGTGGCATTTGGGAATCTCAAAATCAACAGGAATTTAGAAGGAGTTTTTTCCCCACTCCTCTAAAGCAGAAAAGTCTCAGCTCTGTAACATACTTGAGTAAGTAAGTTTAGTATACTTTTAAGAGAGCAATGAGAGACGGCCAAACGGACTTGAATTCCAGAATTGGACAATGTGGTCCATGGTCTTTGAACCACTCAATCTACTCTCAATCTCAACAATCACAAAAAAAAAAAAAAAAAAAAGAGAGAGAGAGAGAAATAATTTCTTTGGAATTATTTCTACAATTTGCAACTTCTTTGGGGAGCAGCTGGAAAAGTAGCATGTTGAAGAGAAATCTGAAAGTGAATGAGTATGGAAATTCAATCGCTGTAGCTACCAGGAGCTATGTGGTTGGTGATCAGATTTTTAAGGAAAGGTAAAAACCAGAACACCATTGTTGTTCATTAGGAAGGCTTTGAGCATGAAGAACAGAAGGATGAATGAATTTGAAGGCTGAGTTCTCTTCACAGGTTAGGATTATTTCTTGTTGCAATGCAGCTGAAAGAATCCCTGCACTTCCTTGGAAATGTCCATTTACTTCTTAATTCTTTGCTCATGTTGCAAGCTTGCACAATAAGAAGACATGGATTTTGTCCTACAATAAATACTTGATAGAAGTTCTTTCTATTGAATGTCACTCCAATACGAAGCATAAAGAAGTTCCCTAATTCAGTTTTACTTCTCTTTACGGGAAATGAAAACAAGAAGCTCCACAATAAGCAGAGCAAGAGAGCAGCCATTGAGCAATGAAAACAATTATCTTCTGAATTAGGATAACGCTTGTGCACAAAGGACAGTATGAACATGAAGAAGATTTTCATCCTTCTGCTGACTCTGTATTTGGTCTTCAGTGTCCAAACCATTCGAGGTGAGTTTCAAATTTATATTCTCTTTTATCCTTACATTTTTACCTTTTTCTTTTTGTATCTGTCTCCTTCTTTCAGCTAATGCTCTTCCTCATTTTCTGCTTGCTTTTCTGCTTCCTTCTGCCACCATCTTCTATGCTTTAGGAGAACAGACATCTTGATCAAAACTGGTGTGCAGCAGATGCATATGCAGACAGATCAGTTGTACGTTAGTGGTATGGACAGGTGAAATACTGGACAAATGGATGAGATGAACAAGCTGACTGGTTAATGAGTGAATCATAATTTTCTGTTGGTTTTTGGCCTGTAAAAAGCCCCTCAACCAAACTGATAGTAGTTCTCATCAAGAAAAATTATTTGAGGGAGCACACTTATGTTTGCATGACAACATCTCTGTCATCTGAAGGTCATATCCCAGTAGTGCAACACAGATATTACCTTCAGAGAAAACAGATAATGAGGTGAAAGCAACTTGCTTCATAGTGAATGTACCAGTGGTGGGCTGTATTTTCCCATTTTTCCCATTTCTGGGTCATAAATCTAGTTCCAACAAATTAGTTTGGGCATTTTTCTAAGTCATAACAAGATTCTTCCCAGAACATCTCACTTTTGAATATACCTTTTTTAGTGTCATAACCTTTACTAAGAGATTAGTGGCAAAGAAGTCCCATACAGCAACACACAAAGATGAAATGCCTGCTGACCATGGTATCTACCAATCCCTGGAAACAATCAGTGTTTGAAAAGTGATACCTTGGCTAGATTTATGTGTCTTGTAGGCACAAAGGTCTCACTTCATTGTTACTTGTAGCTTGGTTTGGACCCTTGCGTATTGTGGAGATGTGCAGGATGGCCACAGCTGTGTACATATTTTTCATCAAGAGCCATTTTCTGGTGCCATGAGGAGACTACTGTTATCAGTGCCTTCCGCATTCTGCTGGGAGAATCACTGCACCTCCTGCTGTCTCTGACTATTTACATTTGTAATCACTGCATCTTTTTTGCCTGAATTCCTTTCTCAGAGAGTATCCCTATGAAGAGCTTGAACTGCTATAATGACTACAACTCACAGGTGACCTGCACATGGATGGAACACGCAGAGGCTCATGCGCTCATTGGTATGATTCTTTACCAAAGGGATAATATTATAATGTAAGTACCTGAAATGGGATAATATTGTAAAGTAAGTGCTGTGCTGGATAAAAGTCCAAAGGGAAATTGACCACAACTTGGAATCCCAGGGACCAGCAGTCAGGTTTTCAGAAAGCATGGCCACCTCTTTCTGTCATTGGGTTGAAGTAAAAGTTGTGACTGCTTCTGAGGCCTCTTTTAGGAAGGGAGGAATGAATAGGGTGTGCTAGTGGAGTTATTTTTATCACCTTTATCCCATAATTTTGTTGTGGGATCATAGATATGAAATAAGATGGAGCATATAGGTTGCTATTAAAGGGGTGGAGAAGATGGTGTCAGAACACATGTGAGCCTGAGTATTATTCATAAACCTAAAAGGGAGGAGACATTGCCCCTGTTATCCTGTATCCTGTTATTTAGCCCAGTTAGGAGCATCACTGAGAGTATGATTTTGATCACTTCTGAGACACATGTACAGACTGTGTGTTTGTGAGATAGAGAAGACTGTGCTATCGGTTTTCCTTCCAGAGATACTGGTCTGTTTATGGCAGCATCTCTCTGTTACATCTGTTTCCTTATGAAAAGGGAACTAAACCACCAGACTGGATCAATTGCGAGGATAAGAAAGGACAGGGAGGGAGGAATAGTCAAGTGAGAGAGGAAGACAAAGATGGAAAGCTGCGAAGAAAATGTATTAAAGTCTGGGAATACAGGAAGGAAAGGAAAGAGAAAGAGAAAGAACTCTTGATTTTATTGTAAAGGAGAGAGAATTAATAGATCTGATATCAGTGGAAGGTCTTTGGAACAGGACCTTGAAGCTAATACTTCTGGGAAAAGATGATATAAAATTACTGGGACCTTTGGAGAATTCTTTGGGACATTGTTACATGATGGAGTGTGTGGATCACATAGGAAACATGACTGAAGTGAACTAATCAGACGAGCAGGTATTAAGTGTGGACAGTCACACAGATGAAATCAAAACGGCCAGAGATTAAACAAAGTCAGCTCATAGATGAAGAACAGTTGACTAAATCACAAACTGTAAGGTAGTCCTGGTGAGTACACAGAAATGTCTTCAGGACTTCACAACCCTTGGGATGAATCTTTTGTTTAAGGGTACACATATGTATGGTCAGTCCCAGTCATACTTCAGGAATATCCCTGGTTTCCATGCTAATACCAACTTTTAAAAAGAGCAATAGTGCTGAATAATGCTTGCTGACATATAGTTGGCTAGGAGACTCCGTCCTATTCTGGAAGACAGTTTTCAGCCTTAGATATTCACAACTTGGTGTTTCTCATTTGAACTGGAACAATCTAATATACCGGGCATGAAGCCACAAGCACAGACAAAATTCCAGAGGGTACAAAAAGGAGCAACACATCTCTCCAGCAGCTCAGGCTACTTCAAGCACACAAAGCTTATCCTCTTCTGTCTTGTTTAAAATATTGTTTCTAATTTTCATTATGCTCCTGGGCCTGGAGAAAGGCTATCTAAGAGGATGATTAACACTCCGGATGAAATCTTTAATAAATACGTAAGGTCCCTTGGCACAACAGAACTACTAAGGATACAGAAGTACATTTTGGTTGGAGAATTTTTTTTTTTTTAAAGTATCTTTCCGGGATTGCAAAATGAATGTCTTCAAGAATATAAGGATCATCAGAAATGGTACTGCCTTTCACTCTGAGTAAACAGTGCATTTCCATGACATTATTTTTTGTTATACTATTTCTCACATTAAAAATATGAGATTACATAGAGTTAGGCTAAAAACTAACAAAAATAGACTGGTACCAAAATATAACATTCTGTTGCACAACTTTGAAATGGGAAGGCATTTGACAAAAATCCTTATGTTAAAAATGTCTGACATATTAACTGATGCAAAACAGGTACAGTGAGAAGAGGATATCAGTGCCCGAGTAAATTATAACAGAATGGGATGGAATTGGTTTCAGGCATTTATTTTTGCATTAACTACAGGTCTCCAAATCAGATCTTTATAAATCGCTTTCTCTATACACAGGGAGAACAAGGAGATGTTTTGCAAACGCCAGACAGAAAATTACTTACATGAGGCTCCAGATTCCTATGTGCACTGGGTTTGTCGCAATACTACAAACAATTTTGGAATAGGGGTGGATGATATTTACAGCTTCAGACCTAACAAGATACTTCAGGCAGAACTAAATGTTGATCTTTTCCAAAATGGTAAGGATTAAATACCAAATTCTTGTTTTGCAATGAATATTAGGGATCTTTGAAACTGTATTTGCTCTTCAGATAAGAAGTAAATTCCACTTACATTGTGAAAGCTGCCAAAGAGTTCCACATTGAGAGGATGGGGCAGAGAAGGGAGAGGGCAAGTTTCTGGGAGCAGTTGGACCTGGAAGGGGGATTCAAGCAGAAGCTGCATTGTGTGGCAGGAATAACACACTGTGGAAATGGGGAAGTGTACTTGGGCATTTTCTCTTCATGTCCCTGTCCTCAACATCTCCTCTCATGGCTTGTACCTTCACCTTCCAGTTCAGACCCTCCCACCTCAAAACCTCTCAGTCAGCTTGATGAGATCAGGAGACGTCTTGCTGACCTGGAAAGCAGCTGACAGAAGCCAAGGGCTGGGCAATGCACTGGAGTATGAAGTCACTTACAAGCAGGAGTGGGAGTCCTGGGAGGTAAGAGCAGAGGAGCCAGGCTGTCCTGGTTTGGGCTGCACTCCTTTCAGCCGTTGAGAGCCTGTGGTAAACACTGTGCAAATGAGTGGCCTTTCCGTTATCAGACACTATGAGATGCAACAAGTGTTGTTTCATGCTGAGCAGAAGTGTCTCTCTTTCTGTTCACAAATGACTTGCTCAGTGAAATACCATTTGTCCTGAATTGAATGCAAAGATCTATTCTTCACTGAAGAAAAAGCACTGCGCTTGGGTTTTGAGTTGGAATTGATTTTGCCCTGAATCCCTCCAAATGGAACTAAATCATGTTCCAAAAGGAGCCTGTGGGTTCCTGTGGGAAAAAGGCAAAATACACTTGAAGCTGCTTCCCCTTCCAGGAGGATTTTTTTTTTTTTAAATTTTAAGCTTTCATATCCCCAGTTCCTCAATTTCTTCCCTCCCCACTTTCCCTCCTTTCCCCCAACAACAGAAAGCTGCCTCACTCTTGCTCTCCAACACCACACGTTGCCAACTCAGCCATAAGGACCTTGTCCCGGGAAGCAGCTACGTTGCCCGTGTGCGAGCCAGACCAGGGCAGGACAGTGGCTTCTCTGGGCAGTACAGTGAGTGGAGCAGGGAGGCGTCGTGGGACAACCCTGAAGGTAGCGTGGGACAGAGCAGGGTTGTACAGGGGTGGAAGCAGTGGCTGAGAAGCCAGACCTTTCCTGTCACTCAGCTTGCTCTGATCTTCTCTGAAGGTGGCCTTCAGCCCAGGAACCTTCGCTGCCTCTTCAATGGTGCAGATCGTCTGACATGCAGCTGGGAAGTGAAGAACGCGATCACCACCTCTGTCATCTTTGGCCACTCCGGCATCAGCGTAGGTGCTCTGCCATGGCAGCGTGCCTGCACCTCTGCCGTGGAGTTTCTGCCCTGTTGCATTTCCTCTGTTCTCAGCATAACCTCTTTTTCTTCCCGCAGAGAAGAGGAGTGCTCCCCTGTACATGAGGAGTCTTTGCCCCACAGCCCATATGTGGTCCAGAGCTGTGAGATCCCCGTGAGCAACTCCAGCAGCCAGAGCCAGTACCATGTGTCTGTCCGGGCCAAGACAGAGGAGAAACTGATTGAAGCCTTCAGGAACAGTGAGTTGCTGTGTTGTTTCTTGCTTCTGCTGGTTGTTTCTTGGAGAGATGCCTGGCTGGGCAGGTGGGGCTGAGGACAGTGGTGGTGAGGAAAAGTGGGTGGGAAAAGGAATTTCTGCGCAGCAGAAATTCACGTTGTGGCCCGGAGTGCCTCAGCGAGCAACTGTCACCCTGATGATTTCTCTGTGATTGACCTTCACGGGTGTCCCAGGTGACAGGTGAGCTGTAGTGAGAGGTGTTTGGGGGGA